CTTTGTGCTCCTTCTGTCCATTCCTGCTCCTTGCAGACCCTTCCTGTTCATTGCAGACTCTTCCTGCTCCTTCCTGCTCATTTTTCTTTCTTTCTGCTCCTTCTCCTACTTTACCTTTGCACTCCTTGCTGCCCCTTCCACCTCCTTGCTGTCCCTTTCTGCTCCTTCTTCTACTTTACCTTTGTGTTCCTTCTGATTCTTTCTGCTCCTTTACCTTTGTGCTCCTTCTGTCCCTTTCTGCTCTTTGCAGTCCCTTCCTGCTCATTGTTCCCCTTTCCAGCTCCTTCCTGACCCTTTCTGCTCCTTCTACTTTATCTTTGTGCTGCTTTACCTTCCAGCTCCTTGCAGACCCTTCGTGCTCCTTGCAGACCCTTCCTGCTACTTGCTGCTCCTTCCTGATCATTTCTGTTCCTTTGTGCTCCTTGCTGTCCCTTCCAGCTCCTTGCTGCCCCTTCCAGCTCCTTGCTGCCCCTTTCTGCTCATTGATGTCCCTTCCTGCTCATTTATGTTCCTTTTCCTATCTGCTCCTTTTCTTACTTTACCTTCCTGCTTCTTGCTGACCCTTCCTGTAGGCTGCCACCCATCCCTCATTTACCTGATCTATAGGCTGCCCACCCATTCCCCACTTACCTGATCTATAGGCTGTCTCCCCCCCATGCCTCACTTACCTGATCTATAGGCTGTCTCTTCCCATCCCTCACTTACCTGATCTATTGGCTTTCTCTCCAATCCCCTACTTATCTGATCTATAAGCTGTCTCTCCCCTCCCTCACTCACCTGATCTATAGGCTGCCCCCTTCCCTCACTCACCTGATCTATAAGCTGTCTCTTCCCCCCAATCCCTCACTTACCTGATCTATAGCCTGTCTCTCCCCTCCCCCACTTACCTGAATTATAGGCTGTCTCCCCCCATCCCTCACTTACCTGATCTGTAGGCTGTCTCTGCAGTCTGCAATTTGTTGGTTACATGTGCTGCTCCCCTGCAGATTCAGTCAGAGAGAAGCAGGGATAAGATGTAGCTTCCGATCCCTCTCTCTCTCCACACACAGCCCCACCTGCTTGCCGGCACCGGTATTGCACTGTATTTTCAATCTCACACGAAAAATAGCAGAACAAGCTGAAAATACAGTGTCCCCCTGCGGACGCCCATGCACATAGGGGTGGGGACATAAAAATAATGGAGAGGAAAGGCGTGGATGCAAATGGCTGTAGGTGAAGTTTAAAGATGGGGTGCAAAACTCTGTCCCAGAATTCTATTCACCCCCCTGATTTAGCCCTGTTCATTTATTCCCATATACTTAACCCAATGGCTGATGTCAGAAATCATGTTGGGGCAGACTAAGCATTGCTACAAAACCTCAAAGTGATTGATAGTTGTGAAGCCTCTAAACAACACAGCCAGCCATCAGTAAGGCAAGTGGAGAAAAAAAAGGCAGAACTAGTATCTAATCTTGGGTGAGCTGTTGACCCTTTTTTGAGGTTATACCAAAGTCCAAATCTGTTGTTACTTGAAACAGTTTTGGATTATTCAATGCATTATAAAATACATGGCAGATATTGTTAAGAACATAAGCTGCAATTTAACAAATATGCAACACTTAAAAAATTAGGGTGGAGAGTAAAAAGACCATGGAGTAAATTCTTGAACATGTTTTGCATCTGATATGATGCTTTCTCAACAGCTAGCATTCACCTTACTCAATGACATCTCAATAAGCATTTGTACCATTAGAACTGCTTTTATTGCACAAGTGTAATAATTTAAATGCTTATTAACCCCTTTAAGGACCAAGCTTCTGGAATAAAAGGGAATCATGACATGTCACACATGTCATGTGTACTTAAGGGGTTAAAGGCTTTAATCTGTTGCAGAGTCATAATTCATATCAGTACTTAGCAGCAAAGATATTGCACTCTATAGTCAGAAAATTAGTAAAATGATTGGTTGGCAGTAAGTTAATCTCCAGATAAAAAATGATTATGAAATTTATAAAATCAATATCACAATCATGTTTAAAGCACTGTAATCCATATCTAAGATTAAATTATGTATAAATTTCAAACGATTAAGATATTATGTTAAGATAGGCTATTATGTAATGCTTGAACTGTGCAAGTTACAGACTCAAACATAATTAAAGAAAACTAGGCTAGCCATTTTCAGCTATTAAGTCTGCAAAAAAAGCAGTCTGCAAACAATGAATGGCCTTGGCACAAAATGCCATACCCTTTAAAGGTTCACGGTAACCCATTTTTTTACAATTCTTAATTTAGTGTTTTACATTTATACTGCCCTATTGGGCACTAATAACTATGTCCACACACCCCCCCGTTTTGTAATCCCAAACCCGTAAGTAATGTAAAGTAATGTAAAAAAAGTGCTTTGAATCTAGAGAATCATTTTATTGGACTGTTCTCTTTTTGTCTCAGAGCTCATGCGCACTCTCTTAACTAAGAAAGGAAGGAATGGGGGGAAGACAAAAGAGCTATATAGGGAGGCGTGGAAGGCAAGGGGAATTTTAGTGAAAAAGAAGGGAAGAGCTCTTCCCTTCTTTTTCACTAAAGTTCTCCCTGCAGGCATTCTCCCAGTGCTGCCTGAAATGGTAGATGCTCATTAGGTCTGTTGCCAGTGCAGAGTGCGCTCTGATAACAGACTTAATTTTTGCACAGAATTAACATGTGTGCCTAAGTCTAGTGTGCCACTGAGGCAATTAGCCGATGGCAAAAAAGTGCAAATATCTCAGTATGTTCAGTGTTTGAAGCAGAAGCACTGCACATTCAGATTCCCCCCTCCATGACTACTTCTAAAAGCAGTAGTGGTCATGGAGGCTGGAGTAACCTTTTAAGTAATATCTGTTTTAACCGTGTGTGATAACCTCACTGCACACTCTTTGGTCAACCAGAAATGCATTAATTTGCATAATGTAAATATAAAAATTAGTGCTGCGAAATAAGCCCTTACATATGCTTATTTTTGCTTTTTCCTCATTAGAAAGGTGTACATGCATTATATATTTTGGTACTTATTCTTCAATGATATGTGCTTTTTATATATTGTTGCTAAAGGCAAAGGTATTTGAGACCATTTTCTTTTGTCTCATTTATTGGGGCTTCTGTAATCATGCTTTAAGACCTGGAAGGATGCATAGGCAGCGGGATCAATGTCCTCAGTTGGAAGAAATATAGCATGTGACTTAAACCCTCTAAAACAATCCTTCTCTGGAGTGGCAAGCCCACATCTCCAATCTCTAGACATGTTGTCACAAAGTATCTATCTATTTATTACTGAAATACTTTAATCTATATATGATATTGGCTGTAATGTAAGATACAACAATCGGTTTATTGTTTGGCATACATAATACTACTGTTAAATGTCTACATATTCACCATTGCCATTTGTTAGGGCAAAATACAACAGCCATTAGCCAATGCAAAGGTCATATACTAACTTGGTTTCATGAAAAAGACTCAAACTACATTTTTCAATATCAGTTCTCATTTGTAATTGACTTTTAAATTTCAATTTTGTATTATTCTTTCTTTTTACATTTTACTTTACAGTTATCAATTATAATAAATCCTTTGAATCTGTAAAACTTTGTAACTTATTATAAGACTAAATATATGGTATAGTTTCATAACTGGAAATTATTATTTAATAGGTGCTAGAAATTGACAAAAAAATGTATATTAATTTAATCACAAATCTCATCAAGTATGTCAGTTTGCCTCTAGGGCAAGTTCTACACCGTTTGGCGATTGCTGTCTGTTTGGCCTTCAATGATTCAGCTTCAATTTTCTGCCATTTAGGAGCTTGGCTTCTTTATTTATGACATCCTACCCACTCCTCCCTTGTGACTCACACTGCCTACCCACACACTTACTGAAAGAGCTCAAATGTTTTATTTTATTCTATTGCAAAGTATGATGTTGCAATAGCCTCTGGTATATGCTTAATTTTCAAACAGCAGAGCAAGAGATAATAATTTCTAAACTAAATACACTGTGCTGTCAAAATGCAAGCTTTTTTAACACTTTTTTTTAACACTGTTGCACATAGAAGGCTTATCAATAGTGATGTCCCGAACGGTTCGCCGAACGGTTCACCGCGAACGGTTCGCCACGGACTCATCATTGAGTAAACTTTGACCCTGTACCTCACAGTCAGCAGACACATTCCAGCCAATCAGCAGCAGACCCTCCCTCCCAGAACCTCCCACCTCCTGGACAGCATCCATTTTGAAGCTGCATTCTTAGTGAGCTGTGTAGCGGAGATGCAATATTCCCAAGGTTATCTCCGCTTATAATCCAAGTGAGGCTCAGGAACAAGTAAATTGTAAATCCACAGGCAAGGTTTCCAGCAGGTAAAATAACAGCAGTATCCCAACAGCAATCCCAATAACTGGACGACACACAGTTTCAGGAGCAGAACTGAAAGCTTTAATCCACATTGGCCTTTTAAAGCATGCTCCCATGCAAGAGAGGGATTACATTCATTAATACAGTAGCCAATCCTGTCCTGGTAACCTCCCACACATCTCCTCCCCTCAGCCAGCATCATAATCCCCTTATCCAGTACAGCAATTCCCCCCGTTTCTGGATGTACCCCTAAACGTAGGGGTAGCCCTTTAAATCATACATCCTCTTGTAGCCCTGATCTGGGTGAACAACATATCCAAAAATCACCCAGATCAGACCAGGGGTTCGGGAAATTTATGGAGGGAATAAAATGACCGACCGCACTGGGTGAAACAGCCGAATGCGGTTCCATGTAAATGGGTCCTGGAGTCAGGGAATGAATGGCACGAAAACCTCTAGCTATAGAGGCTGGGAGGGTTCGCCTGAATCCCCTTGTTCCGTTCTTTCTATCTACCGAACGAGGGGCCGTTCGGTAGTTAGGAACCGAATGGACCGGGCTTGTGGAGGTTTCAGCGTTGTTCGCCTAGTCGAGGGTCCGATTTGAGTTCCAGACACTCGATGGCAAAACACCGCTGTTCGGGAGTTTTAAAATGGCCGCCGCCACGTGTTCGTTTGTCGAATGGCGGCCACCCCCGAGAACAAAGGACGGCTACTTAACTTGTCAACTACCCGTTCGCAACAATGTTGCAACGGGTAATTGAGGACACACTTCACACAGGGGAGGTCTGATTGTTCGGTAGTTTCATTCCCTTAGTTTATTCGAATGATTCTACCGAACAATCAGAGGAATACAATTCTTTTAAACACATATAAAACCAGCAGTTTACACGAATGCAACTATTCACAAGACATTTGCAGGACAGCCCAGTGCCATTCGCTACAAGCTGTCCAGGAGGTGGGACATCACTACTTATCAATAAACTGCAATAAGTTTGAATTCCAATATTGTTGAATGGGTAAGGCAGTGGCTGAGTTACAGGCAATAGAGGGTTGTAGTCAATGGAATATATTCGAAGCTTGGACTTGTCACCAGTGGGGTACATCAGGGATCTGTACTTGGACCCATTCACTTTAATATTCTTATTAGTGATATTGCAGAAGGTCTTGATGGTAAGGTATGTCTTTTTGCTGATGATACTAAGATATGTAACAGGGTTGATGTTCCAGGAGGGATAAGCCAAATGGCAAATGATTTAGGTAAACTAGAAAAATGGTCAGAATTGTGGCAACTGACATTTAATGTGGATAAGTGCAAGATAATACATCTTGGATGTAAAACCCAAGGGCAAAGTACAGAATATTTGATAGAGTCCTAACCTCAACATCTGAGGAAAGGGATTTAGGGGTGATTATTTCTGATGACTTAAAGGTAGGCAGACAATCTAATAGAGCAGCAGGAAATGCTAGAAGAATGCTTGGTTGTATAGGGAGAGGTATTAGCAGTAGAAAGAGAGAAGTGCTCATGCCATTGTACAGAACACTGGTGAGACCTCACTTGGAGTATTGTACACAGTACTAGAGACTGTATCTTCAGAAGGATATTGATACCTTAGAGAGAGTTCAGGGAAGGGCTACTAAACTGGTTCATGAATTGTGGGATAAAACTTACCAGGAAAGGTGAAAGGATCTTAACATGTATAGCTTGGAGGAAAGATATGATAGAAACATTTAAATACATAAAGGGAATCAGCACAGTAAAGGAGGGGACTATATTGTCAGGGTATTTATATCGGCAGACATCTTGTGCTATGATAGAAATTAAAAGTGTATATTCTGAGTCACTCTGAATAGACCAGACTCCATTTTGTTATTTTCAAGTTAACAAAGAGACACGAAATTTCTATCCTTTCTGTAAAACTAACCACTTTCCCAGAGCTAAAGGAATGCATAGTATATACAAACCAAGTGATAAGGAGAACGGGGGTTGGACAGACTGTCTAAATGCTAATGGAATATAACCAATTCTAAACCCAGACATTTGTGACAGAGAAGATTAAATAATAAAATTTTACTTTCTATATGTACAAGATCCCATTGTAAGTTACGGGTCAAAACTTAGTTATAACTGTCATAAATATGTACAAGATCCCATTGTAAGTTACGGGTCAAAACTTAGTTATAACTGTCATAAAAGAAATTATAGCAGAATTTGCCAGACACATAGTCTGGACAAAACTAAGAGAAAACCCTTTGATGTGAAAGAAAACTTAAATTATTGCCACTATAAAGATAAAGCAAAATGACGTCAAAATAGCCACCAGGAAAAGTTAACTCTTTCCTGGATAGGTATGTTTAGTGGGACAAGACTGCCCTTCATAGACCAAATACCTAAATTGCGATCCCTAGATAAGCACACCTCTAGTGCTTCTATTGGGTTATCAACTGATGACGTACAGAGAGTCTGGCCCTTTAAAAGTTAGGACAAAAGGAAGAAAAAGAGACAGGGAGAGGAATTGGAAGTTTGGGGACTCCAACTCGGACATGCAGAGAAACCCAGGACAACATCTGAGACTAACACTCTACTCTTAAAACTCTAACACTTAGAATTTTACTGACTTTCTAACCAACACCACCTTTCACCATAACTCATGCACCTACAGACATCCAAATAAGTTCCTGAGACTAACTACCAATCGGATGAAAGATCTACTCAACTGGTAATTATACTGGTTTCATTTAATTAAATTAATTAAAATGTACTAATAGCATGATATATGACTGGATAAATCACGGTCAGATTTCCATATTAAGAAATCTTAGTTAACTAAAGAATATATAGTTATAAACATTCAATTCTGCAGGTGGAATTAAGAATAATTATATATTAATGTGATATTATCACGGGTTAGCATACCGCTGTTTTTATCCAGGTGTATTGATTTGCTCTAATATAAGATAGATATCTTTTAGACAAATTAAACTCTGCTTATATAACATGGTAGATTCTCTTATTGGATGGTTCCAGGAAATGACTAATGAACTGGTTTAAATGTTATTTTGTTTAAAATTACATAAGAATAGATCTTAATTACTTAGGAGGATCTAGCCAGCATTGAAAGGGTTATTCAGTTGATCTAACTGTTAGCCAGGGTTTAATGGCCCTTCGCTGTGAAAAGCTTCGCTTTCTCTCTGTGAAAGATAGTCATAAATCGTGTAAGTCTTGACAGAAAATGCTGTTTAGCCATTGAAACGTGTATAGCCATTCCGTTGTATTGCATACCATTTTATACTGGATATTCATTGATTATTGTCACGCATGTTACATATTATTATTAATTAATTTGTTATTATAAAATAAATCTATTTTTATAACATTGTGATTTTATTTATATGAAATACTTTTCACTTAACACGATAACGACCTTTGGGATCTGAGAATTGAATTAGTGGGCAATTCTCACTGTTTACTATTATTATCCCATAAATATCCCCACAATATTTAAAAGAAGAAAAACTAACACAACAAGAGGACATAGTCTTAAATTAGAGGGACAAAGGTTTAAAAATAATATCAGGAAGTATCACTTTACTGAGAGGGTAGTGGATGCATGGAATAGCCTTCCAGCTGAAGTGGTAGAGGTTAACACAGTAAAGGAGTTTAAGCATGCGTGGGATAGGCATAAGGCTATCCTAACTATAAGATAAGGCCAGGGACTAATGAAAGTATTTATAAAATTGGGCAGACTAGATGGGCCGAATGGTTCTTATCTGCCGTCACATTCTATGTTTCTATGTTTCTATGTTTTTTTCATAATGGAACTGTAAGTGAGTCAGAGCCAGAGAAGGTGTGACTAGGGCTACATAAACATAGTGATCTAACTCATAAATGGCAGAGAATTGAACAGTGATCTATACAACTAAACTGCCTCTTTAGGAACACTATAGGGTCAGGAACACAAACATGTATTTCTGACCCTATAGTGTTAAACCACCATCTGGCCTACTCTTGCCTCTGTAAAAATTGTAAAATCTTACTTGTATTCAAGCCTGCAGCTGCTGATTCTGCCCCTGTCTGCTGACATCATCAGAAGTGGTGGTCTGAGAAAATCACAATGGTTCCTCATAGGATTGTCTGAGATGGTCAAGGAAGCAGATCGGAGGCAGAGCCAGCAAACACAAAAACAAACACAGCCCTGTCCAATCAGCATCTCTTCAAAGAGATGAATTGAAGCAATGCATCTCTATGAGGAAAGTTCAGTGTCTGCATGCATATGATGGAGACACTGAATGGCAGTACTGCTCACTGTGCATTACTGCCCCAGGAAGCACCTCTAGCAGCCATCTGAAGAGTGGCCAGTGGAGTTATCACTAGGCTGTAATGTCAAGACTGCATTTTTTCTGAAAAGAGTAAAACATGAAGGGAATGGTTATACTCACCAGAACAAATGCAATAAGCTGTAGTTGCTTGGTGACTATAGCTTTAAGCTTAGGGATGCTTGGATCATCCATTTAAGTTATTACCGATTGTGTATGTAAATCATGGTTTACAAAATGGTTGTAATATTTATTTTGCTATAACTGCAATATATATATATATATATATATATATATATATATAATTATTTTTAAGCTGGAGATTTATGTACTGTCAAACAAGTTTGTTACTAATTTTCAAATTTCAGAGTTCAAAATGTATCATAGTATTGTAAAGTATGTTTTTAATATTTTTAATATTATGTGGACCTTGTGTACCTGATGACTTACCTTGATACATTTAAGCACTAATTACTAAGGTGCACTTCCAGGTAACCCAGGGTACCTCCTACTTGGAAAATTATACATCTATAGGACACTGGTATGCATTTCATATTAATTAATTTGGTACCCTAAGTCTGTTAAAGACACCATACTCTTCCTAGTTACAGGAACTTAACCCTTTCTAGGTCCCAAGAAATATGAGTATTATTTTTTTAATATATCTTTTTTATATATGTTTTTTTACCCTTGACTACATCGTTCACATTGGCCAAATCTAATAAAGCCAGCTGGATGTATAATGTTCTAATTCCTTGGATCTATTTCCTTGTGATTTAGTTGCATTGGGTAGAGGAATAGCATTATAAGGATTATGTTCACTTTGCATATACAATTTTTCTTTACTTTTGATTTGTACTTCTTTGTTACATTTGTCTATTTTACTCTTTTTTATACTTCTTTGTTACATATGTCTATTTTTCAAGGATACCGTTACACCTGCAGGTGGAATTTATCTCACAGTTTGTGAGACTAATTGCCTTTTGTTTTTTAACTTTCCAAACATGTCTACCTTTCTGCACGCTATTTTCTTGTGCTGTTGGTTGCTATTTTCTAAAGACTGAAAGCAAGCAAATTTAAAATCTACGTTATCCTCACCTTGTAGTCAGCGGCCGTGCATCTGCATGAATGACACTTGTGACATGTTAATGGACGCCGGCCGCTGCGGATCCAAGGCTAATTATACCCCCACGCTCGCTCACATGATTGACAACGTCGGCATGCACGTGACTTCACGCACGCACCGCACGCACATGTTTTGGGGTCAAAGAGCAATCCAGGCCAATCAGAAAGGTAAAGCAGGTATAAAAGCCTAGAATTATCTTTCCTCGTTGCCCTGTCATAGTTTCCCTAGTGGTTGAGAGCGCATTCCTTATTCTAGTTATTCTCTTTTTTGACTTTGGCTTTGATTTTGACTTCCCTGTATCCTGGTATCCCTGACCTCTGGCTTTCCTTTATCGTTGTGTCCCTTTCTGTGTCCCCGCTATTACTCTGACGATTCTTTGGTACGTTAGCCTGGCCATTCTAAGGCCCGGTAATACGTTACCTATTAGTCTCCTGTGTTA